TTAGAGATTATTATTGAGTAAAAAGACAAAAAAAAAAAAAATAGCTGGAAGCTTGATTTTCCTAGTACAGACCCCAAATACTAAATGAATTGATTTTTTCCGATTTTGAAGATCATTAATATAAGCTTGGCAGGTGAAAGATTGCCGGTCACTTAGACAAGAATTGGCTCATTGGCCAGTTAGTTCGACCTTGGAACCTTTGGGGATTTTAAAAAAATTAATAAATAGTATGCCATGAAGGGTTGATGCTGTTTTAGAAAGTAGAGGAAACCCTACAAGATATTAATTTTTTTTAATAAAATATAATCAATTTAAAACAGTTTCATATATTTTTTAATGTCTTTTATGTTTCAAATTAGTGAGCAGTTTGAGGTTGAATCATTTTGTAAAAATTTTTACAATTTATTTTTTTCCTCATTAATTAATTCACCAAATGTTCTAAAATTTTAGAAGTAACTAGATTTAAAAATGAGACACATTTTTTACTTATACCACAAAGGTTGTTAGAACTTGCTATTGTGGTCAATTTTCGTGTCAAACATTTTTCAGAAAATTCCAAAATTTTCATTTTTATCTTTTAAGGTTTGTGAAACAACAATGTTTTTATTCATATGTGGTGAAACTTCAGTATATTATAAATATTTGATATGAAGATTAATTTTTACTTAATAAGCAGGTGTGATTGGGATATATAGTAAAATTTTTAGTTCTTGTCATGTCACTTTATTCAATTATTTGCAATGATCTGCAGGTGTCCCTATACTTTTGATCAGGAAGTGTGTATATATATTATAATGACAAACACCAATAATAATGTATCAAATCAATTATGAATATTTATTAAAAAAATTTATTTTGTAAAAAAATTCTTTTTGTTAATATACAACATTAGAGAAGTTTTTGGTAATGTGTGTTAAAAAAATAATATATATGCCGATCGTGTTACATTTATTAATTAATTTACATAGTATTTTTTTTTATTAAAATTTTTATGGCACAACAGTAAAGTCAGATTTAATAAAATTTCCCTTCAAGCCTGGCAAGCAGTGACCTCGATGCCGCCACTCCCCACGAGCGGATGGCAGTGGTGTACGTGGACAGGAGCGTTTTAATGGACTCTGAGGGAGTCCAAAATGTGATGCGAAGTGGGTTGTTGAATGGATAAACTTCGATCACCTTATATCCTGGTGGTGCTGAAAAGCTAGAATAACCACCTCTTGTCGAGAAGGGATTAAGAAAATTGTAATGGTGGGTGCGGGCGGTGTGATCATACTTGCGTACGTGCGTACATGGTACGACATGGATAGGTGTGTACGCGGGCAGGTAGTTGCGCACGCAAGTACGAGGTAGCACTGGTAAAAAATAAATTTAAAAGTGGTTAAATAAATGAATGTAAATGAATGTAAAATATAGGTTTGATGTGAATTTAAAAATATTTATTGCACGTATAATCTACCTGTGTGCATGTGTGCGTACGCGTGTGTGTGTGCGTATTAGAATCACTTTCTTAACGACATCTAAAGTTATTGAAATAGGGAAAAAAAGTTTTTTTTTTAATATGTGGATAATAAATGAAAATACTTTTCTTTTCAGTTCACTAAAAAACATATACTTACACATCGAAGATAAGTATTCTTCTAACACACCATTGGCTCACGAAAAAATCTCTTTTTTTAAAAGAAAATTTTTTAATTGATGATAAAAAAAAATAAAAAAAAAGATTGCCATTTAAAAAGAAATTTGCACTTGTATTTTGATTGGATTTCAAAAAATCAATTTCTGAAACTAATAAATCACTAATTACTAATTATTAATTATTAATTTCATAACATGAAGAAATTATTTATTATGTACTTTAAAATATGTATAAAATAAATTCTAATAAATAAAACAATAAAAAAAAACATATATATTAAAAAAGGCTAATACGATACGATAATTGTTTTTTTAGTGGAATGATCCAGAAAAAGTATATTAATATTGAATATTGATCTAAATAAAATTCGGTTAGTGTGATAACCGTTTTTAGTGTTTTATTTAAAGAATCAGATATTTAATAATATATAGGTTTTTATAAAATAAATTCTAATAAATAAACTAACAATCTTTCGCAAAAAATAAAAAATAAAAAAAATAAATACTTAAAAAAATATATATATTAATTACACTAATACTTAAAAATTTGGTTCATTGCGTAATACATTAACCGTTTTTGGTGTTTGTTTTTTTTACTAATGGAATGAGCCAGATAAAAAAGGCTGTTGGTGTAATACGATAATTGTTTTTTTAGTAAAATGATCCAGAAAAGTATATTAATATTGAATAATTGATCTAAATAAAATTCGGTTAGTGTGATAACTGTTTTTTAGTATTTTATTTTATAAAATAAATTCTAATAAATAAAAAATATTATTACACTAATACTTAAAAAAAATTTTTTTAATGTTTTTTACTAATTATATACATAACTCTTTGGTTCATTGCGTAATACATTAAAGGCTGTTGGTGTAATACGATAACCAGAAAAAGTAATTATATGATCTAATACTGTAAATAACCGTTTTTAGTATTTTATTTAAGAATCAGATATTTAATAATATAGATTTTTGAAATATATAGTGCATAAAAGAAATTAAATTACATATTTGATCACTATGCAACAACCACTGTATCGATCAACATGACATGATTAATACTTCATCTGGTATACATATAATTTCCCAAACCATCTCTTAGTGTCACGCAAAATGTAAATAGAGCACGGATCAATTATTATTACCATTACTAGTTTTTTAAATTATTATAACGCACCCAACCCACCAATAAAATTGGATATTTTCACGATGCTGCGCAAAATTGCTGATGATTTTGCGGAAAAATACATGACTTTATTTTAGACTGCCACAATATTAGAATTAGACTTTGATGCAGATCTTTTGGCCGAATCTCTTAATTCTGGGACAATTTAAATTTTTATTTCTACATATGTAAACTCGATAAGTTGGTCATATGAGCTCAACCCCCACATGACCGACTTATCGAGTTTACATATGTATTTTTAATTATTATTTTATTTAATCTATTTTTTAATTTCATTAATTTATTTTTATTTCTATTGTATTCTATTTTTATTTTTATTTATTTATTAATAACTTGTACAGTCAACCTCGCCACAGCGAATTCATGGTCCAGCCAAAAAATTCGTTATGACAAGAAATCCGCTGTGGCCAAATTGGTGATGATCGGCAAAAAATTTTAGGAATTTGGGTCGATTTTAAGCCATTTGTCAGACTCCTTTAATATTACTAACTTGGCCTGCACTGATTCCAAACTGGATTGTTAAATCAAGATTTTTTGGTTCGGGTTTGCCTTTTTTCAATATACATAATTCACGTTTTTGTACTGCAGTAATATATACACGGTTTTTGGAGGAAGATGTTTGTTGAGACATTTTTAAATAATTTTTAATTGTATAATTTTTTTGGTTATATAAGGTTATTTTTAACATTTTAATAAACGGAATTTCAACTTAATTTATATATTTTGAAAATTTTGACTTTATTATGAATCTTTGAAAAATTGATAAATAATCTGTCAATTGTTTGTTTATTTGGAACTTGTAAAATTTTGTTACTCGCAAATCTTTGGATAATCTATCAATTGTTTTTTGGAATTAATTCTTGGATCTATTGTTTGTTTTATTGCTTTATTTTGATATTGACCTTTGACTAAAAATAATCTATTTGATTGTTTGTTTTATTAGGAAAAAAAATTTTTAATTTGGATAATTTCATAAAAATTTATATGTCACGTGAATTCGCTGTGATGAGATAGAAAGACCCCAACATCTATAATTAAGCCCCACTTTATGACCGTTTTATTTAAAAGGGCATATATATTTGCTACTATTCTTATTTCAAATACATAACTAGCTAATCACAATTAAATTTTAAGAATATACCAACCAATAACAGGTGAAATAACATATTCATCGTTAACCTTAACTTGCCTAGCACCGAAAAAACCTGCAGCAAATTTTAATTTAAAACTCTCTGCCAAGATACCCAAATTGAAAGGAACATGTACTAATCCAGAAGGTACTTCATCAGGAATAATTGTATTATTCATAATTTTCCCTTCTGACTTGCCGTAAGGAAACAAAGCACCTATCCATCCATCCCAACAAGGAGTCGGTATGCCACTAGAATAAGGAGTATTGAAAATAACCATGCTCCAAAAGATTTCGTCAACATCTCCTTTATAGATGGCGACAAATTGAGTGATGACTGGTTCTAACCTATCCAATCAGAAATCAAGTTCCAATCCTAAATCGCGGATTTTTGCAACTTTTTCTTGAAGATGCAACCAATCTTTCAAGGTGTCATCAAGGGTAACCTTTGGAATACCACAACCACCCACCATACCATGAAATTGTTGAGATAGAAAAATCACATTCGAGATGCTGTTTTAAACCAACTTTTTTAACTCGTTTATCAATAGTCTTAGAAAGCCGAGAAATCGCTTGTGACCAATCGCCTATAAAGTTTTGGTTAACATATCCTATAATATCTCGAGCATCCACAAAGACATCTTCATGACCTTCATGGCTAACAAATAAGTAACGAAAACGTTCAGCATTATTCCAAATGTGCCTACTAATACATTGTGCAATTGTTAACCATACATCATCTGGTGATAATCGAAGATGTTGGTGAAGAGTATAAGAATGAATAATTGCTGAGACCAACCCATGTGAAGAAGCATGTTTTGAGATTATAGAAGTTGGATTGGAATCCGAGTTTTCTGTAAATTCAAATGAAGAAGCGTGTAATTTACGTTTACCAAGCCATAGCTCCGACGTGTTCGAGATGTTCATTTTTTGGTTCAACTTGTCAGTTATTTTTTGAGTGCTCTTTGGCAAGGTCATTTCTATTAAAGTTCAAAAGGAAAGTCAAAAGGAAATGACAAGTTGGTCATTTTGTATTAAAACGGTCAATGAACAATGAATATTTCAAGATTTGGAACAGGTTTTATGATTCCTAGCCACAATTTGATGCATACAAATAAATACTTCCATTGTATTGATCGTGTCATCATTGAATTTTACACAATCACAATATAGTAATATTTAAAAAATTAGATTTTAAAGCATTTATATAGATTCAAAATTCATAATAATAATAATAATGATAGGGTAAGAAAATAGCAATTAGTAAATATGGCATATCAGTCGCTGTAAATAAAACTAAAGATCTTTATGAAACTCTTGAAGTGCAAAAAAATGCATCACACTCAGATATAAAGAATGCATATTATGCAGTATATATATATATATATATTAAATCATTATATACACTCACTAGACAAAAGTCGGGCGCATTTTTAAACAAAAATTGCGCAAAAACATACTTAATAATAATTAAAT